CTGAAACTTTACTGTATTTGTTTATTGTTTCTAATCATTTTTTAATGGAGTCTTTAGGGTTTCCTATATAGAGAATCATGTCATCTGCAAATAGTGATAGTCTGACTTCTTCATTCCCAGTTTGGATGCCCTTTGGATGCCCTTTATTTTTTTCTCTTGCCTGAATACTCTGGCTAGGACTTCAACACTATATTGAATAATAATGGTGACAGCAGACAGCCTTGTCTTGTTTCTGATCTTAAAGGGAAGATTTTTAGTTTCTCATCCTTTTGGATATCTTGCCACCAAAAATCCTTGCAATCTTGGCCTCTCTGAAGTCCGAACTCTGTTCTGAATTCAGCAAGATCACAATGCTTTTTGGGTTTCTTTCATGCTGTATACTGGACACTAGGCAGGAAGTAGGGGCAATGTAGGACTTAGCTCATATGCTTCCCTTCTTTCAAGGATCATTGTCCTGTGCTACCTGTTGTCCAATGTCTGAAAACCATTGTTTTACATATTTTGTGCAGGTTGCTAGAGTTTCGGCAGGAGAGTAAATCCAGTCTGTTACTTCATCAGAGCCAAGAGGAGAAGTTCCTTTATTGATTTTTTTATTGACATGTTTCTAATTCATTTGTAATATTTCTGTCCTAAATATTCTAAAGATTTCCTTAGGAAAGTTTTCTCTCCACCAGATACATATTTACCTATATTTTATCAGAGTCTCTTTGTGGCTTCATTTTGCTTAAGAAATAGTCTCTTCATCTCCCTTTCTTTCATACTTTCCTTGCCCTTTCTCCCTTGTTCCCCATTCTCTCTCACTTCCTTTCCTCTTCCACAATTCCTTCTCTTCTTTTACCTTTCTTCCCTTACTGTTTTTCTTTTTCTCTCCCTGTTTCTCCTGTTGACCTCCCTTTCATCCTCCCTGCCTCCTATAGAGACAGTATAGATAATATAGTTTATTGCTGTATCCCAGTGCCTATTTTAAGAATGTCTCACAAAAATTAGACCCTCATTATATAAATTCTATAATAAATAATAAAATTTCACAGATAATAAAAAAATCTCTTATTCAGTTTTTTTCCTGGCACCTGTGACAATTCGGTTTAATAAACATCATTGTGAACCTATTGAGTGCCACAAACTATGCTATGTTGTTGAATTATAAAGATGAGATTACAACATTGGCTCTGCCCTCAAGGAATTTCTAGTATGGTGATAGAGATGAGCAATAAATAGATGATCTTAAATCTTTATGCTAATACATGGAGGAGGAGCATTTTTAGCCCAACCCAGAAGTTTAGGGAAAGCTTGCTAGAAGGGATGATGAATTAGATCTTGCAAGATAAATAAAAGTAGGAAGGGCAACAACAGTATGAATATACTTGACAATACTGTGCACTTAAAAATGATCAAGATGATAAATTTTATGTTATTTGTTTCCCCTCTCCCGCCCCTGAAAAAAAAAAAAAAAAGAATAGGAAGGGTGTTCTAAGTAGAGAATGGCTTGATCAAACTGTCACCTAAAAAATTGACCCATGAGAAATTTTGATGATATATAGCCCTTTCTCTTGCCTGGTTAATTATTTCAAACTGTTTATTTACCTTTATTTTTTTCCCTTCTCAGAGTTGGGTATCAGAAATTAAAAAAGAAGAAAATAAAATACACTTTCATGAAACTGAAACATTTCCAGCAATGAAAGAAAATTTGCCTCCAGTTCGTGGCTCAGACAGCTGTCTTCATGTTGCCAAAGTAGGCCTTTTTGGTGTGGGGTGTGGGTGGCAGGGAAAGAAGGTTGTTGTTGGTTATTAAGAGAGTATCTCAGTTTAATCAATGTAGCCAAAATGTGATGTCCTTTAGGAAAGCCGGGGATCTTTTTAAGCTGGTGATGTGCCATTATCTTCTTGAATAGGCTGTATTTCATCACTTGGAAATCAAAATGAAATAGCCTTTTCCTTTGAAGACTTGCATCTTGAGTTTACTGCCTTTCCTCGTTTTTTTCTTTCGCTGTTCTGTCTCTTGTATTCTGACCAGTTTTGATGAGCATATAAGATCCAGTTCAGTGTGTGAGAATTTCAGGGAATAATTTTATGTATCCAGTAGAAGCAGAGAGGAAATAAGTTCATACATAACTAACTGTGAATTTAAAGTATTAAACAGATACTTTCAAGCAGTTATAAATGTCTTTCCTTTGATCAGTGCATGTTTGTTTTCCCCCTTATCCCCAAACCCTTATGATTATTTCTCTGTGGTTCATCCCTATTTTGTCATGTAGACCTCTCCTTTTTAACCCATGGGTTCCATAGAGAAAGGGCCTTTTGCAGTTCCAGGTCCATTTACTTAACTTTAAGTTGAAACTGAGCTTCTTGGCATCCGCTGGGCCATGAAATTACAGAACTTAGCCCTTGTGTCCTGGACACTGGGGGGGTCTCTGGGCTTTCATGTGGATCACACGTTCCATTCACTCTGCCCTACTTTTTTTTTTTTTTTTTTTTTTTAACTTTCATTTCAGAAAGGTTGGCTACCCTAGTCTCTTCATTCTGGGCTAACTTATTCTTGTTATTCTCATTTCCTCTTTGAATCCTCAATTTTATTTAAAAAAAATCCATCGCCCTCATCACTCTGCTCTCTGATAATTTACTTTCCTGGGTCTTTTTACTCCCCATTAGGAATTACTCAGGTAACTGAGGTATACAGTGTTTTTGTTGTTGTTGTTGTTGTTTTGGTTTGTTTTCTTTTTTTTTTTTTTGCCAGTGATAAGGATGCTACTATCTATAATCAATGAATTTATATTTATTGAACACCTATTATGTGCTAATTCTGTACCCAGAAAGTATAACAATAAATAAAGCTTGATCTCTGCTCTCAAGGAGCTTATGGTCCAGTGGGGTAGACATAGTGGTTCTCAAAGCATGGTCTGTGGACCCTGGTCATCCCAGAGATACTTCCAGGGGGTCCAGGAAGTCAATGCTATTTTGACAACTAATGCTAATGCTCTGTCTTTTTCATGGTGTTGATTTACCTCAGCACAAACCAAGGCAGTGGTGCCAAACTGTACTTGTAGTCATTGTTTTCTCCACTGCTCTACACTCACAGTAATAAATTCCAACTTAACATAAAAATGTCTTAGATGAAATACTAAAACTTATTTTGTTAAATCTTGAATCTTAGGACACGTGTTTATAACATTCTGTGTGACAAAATGGGAAGTATGCAGAAAGTACTTCATCATGAAGTGAAATATGATTGTTATCTCTGGAAAAACACTTAGGTGATTAAGTTGCCAGCTTTAAGTAGCCACTTTTTCCTGGAATAATTTATATTCAGAAGAGCGACTGACAAACTGGTTATCAAGACTTGGGTTTTTGGCAGACATTGTTTTGAATATGAATGAAGTGGGCTTGTCACTTCATGGAAAACTACCAACAGTGTTTTTTGCCAGTGATAAAACCTGAGCTTTCAAGTACAGTTGAGAGTATTTCATATTCTCATGTGGCTCTTGAATGTAAGCCACATTGTGACAAAATAATTTTCCCTTAAAGAGAATACTTAAAGACTTTTCTGATGAGCTCCATGAATATATGAACAAATACCATTTTTTAATTGTATAATGAAATATTTGACTGTTTAGAAGGTCTGCATAACTCCAAATGACTAATGCACAATGTTACAAAACTGCATGGGTAAATGACCCATTCAAAATGGTTTCAGATTATGACTAACCTTTAAGAAACCATTTAAGGAACTATGTGTGAGCCTAATGGCTGTTGATGCTTTCTTCTCATTCCCTTCTGGTGCTTGCAGTTGGCATAAGACGTAGGTTGGGTGACTTAATAGCCCCAAGTTGGAGCACGGACAAGAAAGGGCACATGACCCAAGCTAACCAATCACAGTTCTTCCCAGAGATTTCTCTAACTAAAGATAAAGAGAAGAGTCACTCTCCTTTTCTTTTCTGATTGGGAAGCCTGTGAGGTTATAACCCCAGGCTGTTTGTGACCATGTTTGCTACTACTTGGAAAAAACAAGTAGCCAGCAGGGAAAATGAAATCAGTAGGCAAAGAGAAGCAGAGACTAGGGACTGTGGGGAAAGAGAGGGAGTGCTGGAGAGAGAGCATATCAATCCTTTACCTAGCAACACATTTGCCCTAGCATCAGTTTGGTTACATAAGCTAATGATTTATTCTTTTTAAATAGAATTAGCCCAAGTTGCGTGTCTGACATTGCAAACAAACCAGCTTTGACTAATACAGCAAAGTAGTTATTTCTATGTATCCAATGTCTAGGTTTTAAAAGAATGAATGATAGTTTAGTACTTTTAAAAATTATGATATAATCACTAATAATCACCTTTCACACATGTGCATTTTTAAATTTTATATATGTACTTAAAATTCTATAGATTTCTCCCAAAATAAACTATACATTTTAAGTCCTTTTAAAGCCTACTATGTATTATGTTAATAATTTTAATACTGGGGTTGTTTTGACTTCAAGGTTACCTATTTTTCTTATCTTTTCAATTTGTATATCTTAATCCAATGCTTCACGTTGCATTTATAGTAAAACCTGCTAATCTTATATTCAATACGTCTCATAAATATGATTTAATTATTTCAGGAAAAATGTTCTAAAAGTAGACCAGCTAAAAAGAAAATTCCAAGGGATTATGCAGAGTGGGATAAGTATGTTTTATATTTCTTTGCTTAAAATTTGTCACTGAAAAGTTCTCTACTATAAAATACTGTAATAACTTCTTAATTATTGTGAACCTGAACATATTAAGAATACCAAGGTACTTCAATAGAGTACTAAGAATATGTGGTCACTTTTGATCTTGTTTTTCCATTAAATAAAAATCTCCTACAAAAATATTCTTTTGTTTATAAGAGCAACCAACCAAAAATAACTAATGTAATCCTTATACCCATCCAAAATAAAAAAGGACAGAAATTTCAAATTGAGATAAATTTGCCATATTTTAATTACAAAGTTCTGAAGAGTTTAGGCCTGATTAAGTTCTCACTAAATTGCATGATTTCTAAGAGAGGCTCCAGATAACTTGTAATACAAACCTATTTTGCATTTTTGAATATGTGTTTAAAGGCACAGTAATACAAATATAAGAATATCAATAATAAATTTTATTTTCTTACTTGTACTTTTTTCAGTTTATTATTCTTTCTTTTAAGATTTGACGTGGAAAAGGAATGTTCAAAAATTGATGAAGATTACAAAGAAAAAACTGTAGTAAACAACAAGTCACATTTGTCTAAAATTGAAACTAGACTAGACACAACAGGTAATTGGGGAAAAATGAGAATAATTTAGTAGTCTTTACATTTTTTCACTTTTAATAAAAGCTGTCAAACTAGAAGACATTCTCTTAAAGTGTTGCAGATTTCCATTATAAATTAATGGATTTTCTCCACAAGTTGACCACTTCTAACGAATTCAGATCTATCCTTCAACTAATTAATTTTATATGAGTAACAGTTTTACTATTTAAATTTAGTAAGACTTAAAAATATAAACCTATTTTTTACTGTAATTTATTTGTTTTTCATTCCTCTTTTGAATCCCTTTTTCCTTCAAATTTCTCACATTTTTTTTCTTTTTGCTTTGAAACAAAAAGGTGGAGCAGTTTGATTTCATTTGAAGTTCATAGATGTATAGCACCTTTGAAATGAAACGAAATCAATCATAAAAAAACCTAAACCATCAAAAATTGTGAATGATTAAAAAAAAAAGAATCATTCTTAAACTTAGGAAACTTTTCATTTTTAAAACTGTATTTTGTAATTTTCTACTTCTGTTAAGGATTCTTGGATTAAAAAATTTTTTTAATTTTATTAAATTATATTTTAGCTTACAGCAGGTAACATTTATTTCTAGGTCTAACTGAGAAGGAAAAGGATTTTCTTGCTACTCATGAAAAGGAAAAAGGAAATGAGGCTTTCAACTCAGGAGATTATGAAGAGGCTGTGAAGTATTATACAAGGTGAGCAGATTTTTGTTGTGGTTTAAACTTGCCATTAAAAAAATGACAATATTTAAATTTAATTGTTGAAATGATATAAACAAGCTAAATAGTTTATATCAGAATCACTCAAGATATTATATTTGTGATTTATCATAAATTCACTTGTGTTCGCCTTGTTTTTTCAATATTTTTCTGAAAGTTTCCACCTACTCCCACTTTTGACAGAAGTCCAGACTTTCCTATTTTACAGAGAATTTAGAAGCCATCTAAAAGGAACTGATAGAAAGTCCAAAAAGCATAGAGGTTAAGAAGTCAGACTGCCCGGATCTACTCCCGGTACTTATGGTTCTACCTCTTACCACAGGGCGTTTACACATGCTGGATCCTCTGTCTAAAATACTCTTCTCTCCTCTCATTATCTTTTAATTCTGACTTGTCCTTCAGATCTCAGCTCATGCTTCACTTCTTTGGAGAAGACTTCTGCGACATCCCAGACTCGCTTAAATCTTCACTTTAATACATTCCCGCCACCACCGCCCCTCCTCACCAACTGATAGGCTCCTATAGTAATCTTATCTTTCTTTTATAGCACTTGTTGGATGTACAATTTAAGTTTGTGTGATTTGATACTAACAGGACTGTAAGCTCTGTAAGAGCAGAGGCTACTCGTTAGTTTTTTTAATACCATTGTATTCCCCAGCAAAATACCTGGTTCACAGCAGGTGTTCAATAAAACTTGTATGAACTTTTGAAGCTCTTACAGTCTACGAAAAGTAAACTGAAGTTCCTAAAATGCTGTTATAGACAAACTGCTTATAGAATCACTAATCCACTTTTGGAAGGAAGATTTTTTTTCAATATTGTTTGTGTCTCTAGAGAAGTTTTTCTTGGACTGTTTAAGTGAACATGCGAGGTAAAGAGGATATTTATGTATCAGTCATTTAGTACAGCCTCCCCTCTCCAGCCAGTGGATGTCAGTTCTGACATTGTTCTTTTTCTTGTAGATTTCCACTGATGGAGAATGGCTTATCTATTACAAGGGACAAAATTTTTCTTGTGTTCTTTTGAGAAATCAAGGAGTTGAAGAATTAAAGCAGCATAGTGTGATGGTTGAGGGAACTCACACTGCCACTTTATTCCTTTGGGCAGATTCTTCATCTCTTTTGCCTCAGTTTTCTCATTGTGATGGGCTATAGTAGTGCCTACCTCAGCGCAGCTATGAGGATCAAATAAAACACACCAAAAGTCAAGTCAAGATAACATGGTGACAAAGAGAGCAGGTGTAGACTCTTTGGGTTTGAATCCTGACTCTTCCCTCTACAAGTTTGTGGCCTTGGGCATATTACCTAACCTTTCAGTTGCATCTATTTTCTCATCTGCAAAATGGGGAGAGCGGTGATACCGCCTTTGTGGATTGTAATGAGGATTAGATGAGTTTAGCGTCTAGTGCCTGGCATATGGGAGGCACTCAGGATCTGGTACTCTTATTATTTATTCTTACATAATTTTTCCATGTCTGATATCTACCCAACCATATAACTTCTTTATGATCTTAGTAAATTGACCCTTTTTATGACTCCATTTTTATCTTCTATCCCTCTTTTGAATTTAGAAAAGTCAGTGTACTGATACCCTTATCTTTCCTATATTTATGTATAGGCTGTTTCACAGCATTCCAAATCAACTTTTTAAGCAACGGTCAGATATGTTTTAGCTTTTATTTTTATTATTTTGCATTCATACCCTTAATCTAACAAAATTTGCTCTCTGAAAGTCTGTGTTCTTTATTCCACTGACTACCATCCTCTGTTTTATTAAATTTGTTTGATTAAATTATGATCATTTCCTTAAGGTTAAATCTACTTTTAGATTACAAACTAACTTGTGTCTGTTAACACAATAACAATTTAATAAAGGATATTAGTTGTGGTTGGTTGCTCCATTTCTTTGCACTTGGAGATTATCCCTACCATGTGGAAAAAAAAGTTTTTGATATATGATGTGAACTAAACTGTTTTTTAGGAGCTCTATGATAGTTACATTCCCATGTTACCTCTAAAGCTTGAGTCAACTTTAAACTTCTTAACTAGATATTTAAGTATCTGTCTAATGTTGATTTAGTATGTTTGTAGAATTGTATCTTATTACTTTTGATGATGCTGGCTATATTAGTTTACTGGGGCTGCCATAACAAAGTACCACAGGCTGGATGGCTTAAAGAACAGAACTTTCTTTTCTCACAATTCTGAAGGCTAGAAGTCTGAGGTCAAGGTGTCGGCAGGTTTGGATTCTTTTGAGGCCTCTCTTCTTGATTTATAAATGACTATCTTCTCTCTGCATGTTCAAGTAGACTTCTGTCTGTGTGTGTCTGTATTCTAATCTCCTCTTCCAATAAGGACACCAGTCATACTGGATTAGTGTCCACCTTCATGACCTCATTTTAACTTAATCACATGTTTAAAGACACTGTCTCCAAATACAGTTACATTTTGAGGTACTGAGGGTTAGGACTTCACCGTATGAAGTTTGGGGGGCACAATTCTGCTTATAACACAGGATATAACTGTTTCATTTATAACTTTAGCTGAGTTTCTCCATCTTCTTATATTTACCACTGGCCTACCTGTTGCCAATGAGTGTCTCTTTTATAGAAGCCTATCAGTGCTTCCCACCGTAGCGGCCTATAACAACCGAGCTCAAGCAGAACTCAAACTACAGAACTGGAACAGTGCTTTTCAGGATTGTGAAAAGGTCTTGGAGTTAGAACCTGGAAACTTAAAGGGTAAAGAATATTTATAAAATGCTTTTAATTTACAGTAGGATCCACTCATATTTGCCCTAAAAATATTTCAAATAAATTAAAATTTCTACATGTGAAATTTACCTTCATAAAATTACTTTTAACTTCATGTTTAACTTGGAATTTAAGTTCCTGATTATTTGCATTGAGGTAGTATTTTTGAAGAACTATCTCAAGCTTGCATTTAACTGTGGGGTTTTTTCTTTCAATTTTTTTTTATTTTGTAAAATACATGTAAGATTTACCATCTTAATCATTTTTAAATGCACAATTCAGTGGTATTAACTACATTCATACTGTTGTACAGTCATTACAGCGATGATTATAGGGAACATTTTTATAGAAAATGATTATAGGGAACATGCTTATAGAAAACATTTTTGTTTAGTAAAAGCTTCCCAATATTGCAGTACAGTGTGGTGCCTCTGAAAGGTTGAGGTTTGGAGTCTCTGTTTCTGCAGAAGCTGGCAGGGCGTGGGCTGTCACAGGGCCAGATGGTTGGAGGGGACAGTTGTCTGATGCAGCCTCTTCTCTTTACCTCAGTATCATTTTCTTTGTGTTCAACAATATGAAAATGGGTGTAGTTAAGCTCTGCACAACTGCATCCTAAACTGTTCTGTGCTACTTATATTCTTCCACTTGAGAAATATGTTATAACCATAATACCATAATGATAAAAAAATGTATCTTTTATTTCGGTAAATTCCCAGCTCTTCTACGCCGTGCTACTACATATAAACATCAAAACAAGCTCCAGGAAGCTATCGAAGATTTGCGTAAAGTACTGGATGTTGAACCTGATAATGAGTTGGCCAAAGTAAGTACAGAAAGTGATTCCTCATGAAATTCTATAGCTTACTATTTCTGTATTTACATTTAAATGATATCAATCTTGCTGCATACATGATGTTGAGGATTAAGTCACAGCTTTAAAAAGCAGATATATCCCAGACACCCCAAAGTGTTTATATCTATTTGAAATGGAAGAAAGTAATACTTTTCTTTGAGCTAATCTCAGCTTATTATACAGAGTAGTATAGAAGTTTCCTAGGTAAGATTAGGCATGAACTTGATGGCTATGAAAGAATGTTTCTCTCTGTAACTTGCATGGTAAAAATTGCATCATCGACAGCAGACTGACTCAGATATGCACTTAAGAGGATCTGTGTTAAGGCCTGAAGAGTAGAAGTAAGTGCTGAGAACCGTGAAGGTCTGAGATTTTACCCTACTTGCAAATTAACAAGAAGAATATATAAGACTAGAAGAATACACAAGACTCCTGGGTCAGACTCATGGCATGGCAAGCCGATGAGCTTCAAGTTCATGTCAGTTCCCCTGGTCCTCAAGTCTCATGGGGGTGCGCAGAATGGCCCAGATAGATGCTGCACTATGCTGAAAAGCGACACAAACTTTTCTGAAAAGTGATTTAAGTATATTGCATCAAAGATCTTAAAAAATACATATTCATTAATATCTGAATTTCTAGATTTATAACCCAAGTTACAGTTGAGGAATCCCAAATTTATGAAACCCCCATCTTTCATAATGGGATGTAAGCAAACCTGTCTCAGTATAAGAGGGAAACATCTTTATTTTACTGGAGAGCAAAGAAAACTTGCTCTCTCCTCTGAAGGGAAATACTCTTATTTTCCAAGGCTGTTCTCAATACAAACATCCTTAAAGATAGTTTAGAACAAAGGCTGTTTAATTCCTCTGCTCCCAGTATATTTAGAAATGTAAGAAACCCATGTCTTCCAATAATAAGTTGTTAATGTTTCCACATACACCTGTTGTGTTATCTATCGCACTTTCTCTGAGGGGCAGCTGACATCCCTAGTGTATCAGCTGCATTTGGCAAGTCAGCATTTCAGTGGATTAGATTTAGGGCTGAGCATTTTTCCCCATAGTATTTCCTTTTTATTATGTTATATTTAGTGTGTGTGTGTGTGTGTGTGTGTGTATAAACATATCTAGGAAGATGATCATCAGAATAGCAATAGTGTTACCTGAGTAGCAGGATTTCAGATAAGTTTTCTTTCTTTTTCATACTTGTTATGCTTTAAGTTTTTTATAACTGACATGTATGATTATAATCAGACAAAGCAATGAATTTGTTTGAAAAAAAAAACAGACCGGCATAAAAAGACTTACCTTAGTTACTTTTATTCACTTTCTGATAGCTTCATACTCTTACCTGAAAGAATGTGTTATGTTTTTTTTTATTAAATGAAAACATAGTCTTTAATATGGTGATTATGTTGCAGAAAACTTTGTCAGAGGTTGAAAGAGATCTGAAAAATTCTGAACCTGCATCTAAGACTCAAACGAAAGGGAAAAGGATGGTTATTCAGGAAGTAGAAAACTCGGAAGATGAAGATGGAAAGGACAGTGGAAGAAAACATGAAGATAGAAGTGAGGATACAAGTAAAACATCTTTTCTCTTTTGGTTATGCAAAGAACTGCCTTTTTATGTGACAAGCTGTCTCAAATTTTCTATTTGTACAGAAATTCTTAGTCTGTCAAACTTTTCCTAGCTTTATCTTGTGAATTCACAATTAAGTTTTTTCTTAATCTTTTTCTTAATGTAGCTCTTTTTCTTTTTCCTTTTCTTTGTTGAGGTATAATTGACATATAACATTAAATAGTTTCAGGTATATATCATAATGATTTGATATTTGTATATATTGTGAAATGATCACCACAATGTCTAGTTAACACAGCTCATCTTTTTCTTAATACAATCTCCCAAACCCATTTTTCTTCTTAAACTGACACACTTTTCTAGTGCTCAATTTAATTCCTGATTATCACCTTTAAATGCAAATGTCTATGTCTTTGTGGTACCAACCATTTGCAAGTTAACCTTAATGTCTCTCTTAGATGATTGTTTTATATACAGCTATTGGTTGCAAACAAATATGTCATAGCTTCAAGGGGTTATATACCTATATGAATGCATTGTTGCTAGAAAATTGCTATGTGTGCGCTCAAAAAGATTTTTAAATATGCAATTTCGCTTTTAATAATTTACAAAAAAAAATCTAGACTTGATAAAGCTTAATATGTATCATATAAAACAATGAAAGTTACATCAACTTGAAGGGGAAAGATCTGCCTATTATTTGACCAGGAGGGGAAAAATTTTTCTCCCTTAGCAACCAAGGGGAAATACCAATTTTGAAAATCATTCATGGGTAAAAATCAACTTCAAGAAATTCAACAGAATATTTTAATTTTGAGAGAAATATAAAATGATCAATTCAACTTAAATAAAGAACAGGAAGTGTAAGTTTTTATTTTTTTAATGAAAATAAATATAATGTAAAATATATACTTCAGGTTAAAGTATGATCAGTTAAGCTAGAATAAAGACAAAGGGACAGAAAAGTAAGAGAGAGAGAGGAGGAGACAAGAATAAGAGCACGAGAGAGATGGGAAAGGAAGACAGAGCATCAAAATCATGAAAAAGGGAGAGGTTAAGGTAAAAAGTTTTTCACCTTTCAGCCTGATTTTAAGTAAGTGCTTTCAGCAAATGTTTTTAGCTCAGAGTAATTAGCCACGTGTCTTACAATTAAAGGAAATTGTTTAAATTATTTAAAATCTTACCTGGAATAAGATGTAGTATAAACTATATCAGTTGCTACTATTTAAAAATTATCTTAAAATTTTATGTATGGTAAAAATATACTTTTTTGGTATATAGTTTTGACATGTATATAATTTCATGTAACTACCACCACAATCAGTATACAGAAGAACTCCATCATGCCAAAAAAAACTCCTTTTTGCTCTCCCTTTAGCCAAACCCTTCCCTCATCCCAACTCTTGGTAACCATTGATCTGTTCTCTGTTTCTATCGTTTTACCTTTTCCAGAATGTCATATACCATAAAAGGAATCAGAGTATGCAACTCTTTGAGACTAGCTTTCTTCACTTAGCATACTGTCACTGACATTCATTCATATAGTTGCGTGTATCTGTGGTTCATTCCTTTTAAATGCTGAATAGTATTTCATTATATGAATATACTGCAGCTTGTTTATTCCTTCTCTTATTCAAGGAGATTCAGGTTGTTTCCAGCATTTGATATTTATGAATAGAGCTGCTATTAACATTCTCCCATAGGTTTTGGGTAAACATACGATTTCTGGGTCACATGGTATGTGTATGTTTAACTTTAAAAAACATTTCCAAACTGTTTTTTCAGATGGCTGTACCATTTCGTCTTACCACTGGCAACATATAAGGGTTCTAGTTCTTTATCATTCTTGTCAGCGTTTGGTATTGTCAGTTTTATTTTTTTTTTTTAATTTTAGCCATTTTATTAGGTGTATAGTGGTCTCATGGTTTTAATTTGCATTTTACTAATGGTAAATGATGTTGAACATTTTTTCATGTGCTTATTTGACATCTCTGTGTCATTTTTGGTGAAATATCTGTTCAGTTTATACCACCAGTTTTTAAAATTAGGTGGGTTGAGTTTTGAGAGTTCTTTACATATTTTTGGTACAAGTCCTTTGTTAAATATGATCTTTACAAATATTTTCCCCTGTTTATAGCTCATTTTTTCACTCTTAATATTGTCTTTCACTGAAAAAAGTTCTTCAATTTGAGTAGAGTGAGATTTATCAAAAATTTTAAATGGACTGTGCTTTTGATGTTATATCTAAGATGCTTTGCCTAACCCAAAATTATGAGGATTTTTCTCCTGTTTTTTTTTAAATGTTTCATAGTTTTATGTTTTATATTTAGATATATGTCCATTCTGAGTTAATTTTTTTAATTGAGATATAATTGACATTATATTAGTTTGAGGTGTACAAAACAATGATTCTGTATTTGTATGTAATCTTGTGGTAATCATTTTGCAATATATACGTATATCAAATTATCACATTGTATACCTTAAACTTAACTTAAACAATATGTCAGTTAATCTCAATAACGTGGTGGGGTGGGGAAGATATTAAAAGGCCCTCCTCACAAGTAGAAATGAACAAACAGGAAAAGTCTAATCACTAAAAAAATCAGTAGAACTATTTCTATGAGTAGAAATCTGAGTTGGGATTGTTGCAGAGTCAGGGTTATTATAGTGTAATATCATTTGACAGAGTGATAAGATGTTCCTCCCTCAGACGAGTGTCATAGAGACGCAATAGTTCCAATCAGGTCTCCAGGCAGCCAGGAACTTTACAAGAACCATTTCTGATTCTGTCATTCATGCCTCCATATTTATTTTTTAAATTAGGGAATATACAAAAATATGTAAGATTCAGAAAACAAAAATGTCTTGATAGGAAGAATATAAATTTTAAAACAAGTTAGTTCTCTTTTATCAGGAAAGCAAGTCAAGATTAAGTGGAATGAATGGTCGGAAGCCCAGAAGTAGTCCTTTTAAGATGAAATGAAATCGTTAGAACTATCTTATGCTCACTTCTACCAAGTTCCATTGTTAGATGACATGTAAAAAGAGGTCCTAGAGCCTTGGAAAAGGAGAAATCTAAGTTGCTATTAGGAAAATAATGTTACAGCCAAGAGGGAGATTATCAAATTGGAATCTTTACGCGTGGTTTCCCATCCCACCACATTCCAAGAAAGAATTTTTAGTCATTATGGGGTATGATGCAAGAAGCCCTGAAGACCATGAAAAAATACAGCAATTAGTATTTTGTGTCCTTAGCTGATAATGCTGCTCCTCTGGGAGTTCCACTTGGGTTGGCCAGGCCCAGTTCATCCAGACTGAGGTATAACATTGGTTTATATAGCATACAAATGGATTTAACTTAATAAGTGGCAATTATTGAGCATCTACTCTGTGTCAGGTTCTAAGATAAGACAATCAATAGGCTTTCTTCACCTGTTCTTCTAAAGACTAGTATGAAGAAATACCTGCCTGTTTGTCAGATTTATTAAATCTGGGAATTTGAATTTGTGGGCTTTCTCGGAAACTCCCCATCTATTCGTAGAGATGCATTTCCTTCCCTCATAGAGAGCATTTCCTTCTCTGTAGAGAGCATTTAGAAGTGGCCATCATCTTACAACTGTAGCTGTCAGAAACTTTGGTGTTTAGTCTATGTCCTTATAGAGTCTGTGAGAAGTAATCAGAGGAAAGTAAGCATCTTGCCTCCCTTGTGCTGTTGCTTATTCCCATTTAAAAATGAAATATAAGAAAATTAAACAGTTATTCACTAACAGAAGAATGAAATATAAATATTTCTCTTGACCTAGAATTGGTGGGATCAGGAGGGTAGAAGGGTGGGGTTTTCAGAGTTAAAACAATAGACAAAATCATAAAGAGAAAAGTTAATGATTTTGATTAGTAAGAATGAAAAACCTGTGCAAGTCAGATGCCATAAAACAAATTAAAAGGCAAATGACAAATTAGGAAAAATGGCAAGAGGTTGACAACCTTGTAATATGAAGAGCTTTTATAAAACAACAAGAAAAAGTTAAAGATCTCAGTACCAAAATGAACAAAGCATATGAACAGATAAATCACTAATGAAATTAAATGATCAATAAATTTTGTAGTGTTAATAAAAAGTGAAAATTAAATATTCTTTTTTTCTCCCATTAAATTGTCCAGGATGGGGGAAAAAAAGAGTATTCTTTGCTGTCAAGGTAAGGTAAAAAAAGCACTCTTTCTTTAAGATAAGATATAACTTATATGTCATAAAATTCAACATTTTCTAATTCAATGGATTTTAATATATTTAAAAAGTTGTACAACCATCACCACTAACTCTAGAACATTTTTATAATCACAAAGAGAAATCCCATATCTATTAGCAGTAGCTCCCATTACCCCTCCTGGCTTTCTGTCTTAGGGATTTGCCCAATCTGAATATTTCATATATATGGAGTTATACAATATGTGGCCATTTGTGCATGGCTGCTTTCACTAAGCATGGTGTTTTCAAGGTTCACCCATATTGCAGCATGCAACACTTCATTCCTTTTTATGGACAAGTAATATTCCATTGCATGGATAATATACCACATTTTCTTTTTCCATTCATCAGTTGGTGGACATTTAGGTTGTTTCCACTTTTTGGCTATTATGAATAATGCTGCTATGAATATTCATGTACAAGTTTGTGTATGTGTGTGTGTGTGTGAACGTTTTTAATTTTCTTGGGTATATACCTAGTAGTGGAATACTAGGTTATATGGCAATTGTTTAACTCCTTGAAGAACTGCCAGGCTGTTTTCCAAAGTGGCTACAGCATTTTACATACCCACCAGCAATATATGAGGATTTTAATTTTTCCACAATCTTGTACACACTTGTTATTGTTTGCCTTTTTGATTATAGCTATCTTAGTGTGTGTGAAGTGATAACTCCTTATGGTTTTGATTTGCATTTCCCTAATAACTTTTATGTTGACCACCTTTTCATGTGTTTATTAGACATTTGTAGATCTTATTTGGAGAAATGTCTATTCGGCTCCTTTGCACATTTTACAATTAGATTGTTTTTTTATTATTGCATTGTATTTTTTATATATTCTGGATACATACAAGACCCTTATCAGATATGATTTGCATATAATTTCTTCCACTCTGTGGGTTGTCTTTTTCCTTTCTTGATAATATCCTTTGATGTACAAAAGTTTTTAATTTTGATGAAGTCCAATTTATCTATTTTTCTTTTGTGCTTGGGCCTTTGGTGTCATATAAAAATCCATTGTTAAATCCAAGGTCGTGTAGATTTATCCTTATGTTTTCTTGTAAGAGTTTTATTGTTTAGCTCATATATTTAGGTCATTGATTTATTTTGATTAATTAAGGTAGGAAGGAGTCCATCTTAACTTTGTTTTTTTTTTTAAGCACATGGAGATCCAGTTGTCCCAGCACCATTTGTTAAAGAGACTATTCTTTCTCTATTAAATGGACTTGACACCTTTGTCAAAAAAAGATGTATGGGTTTACTTCTGGACTCTCAATTCTATTCCACTGGTCTATATGACTATCCTTATGCCTATCCTATTAAATGGACTTGACACCTTTGTCAAAAAAAGATGTATGGGTTTACTTCTGGGCTCTCAATTCTATTCCACTGATCTATATGACTATCCTTATGCCAGCACCACTGTTTTGATTACTGTAGCTTTTAGTAAGTCTCGAGTCTTGATTTTGTTCTTCTTTTTCAGTTATTTTGGCTATTCTAGACCCCTTGTAATTCCACATGAATTTGAGGATCAGCTTTTCTATTTCTCAAAAAAAGGCTCTGGAATTTTGATAGGGATTATATTGAATTTGTAGGTCACTTTGGATAATATTAATATTTTAACAACATGAAGTCTTCCTATCTTTCCTTTTATTTAATTTCTTTCAGTAGTTTTGTAATTTTAAGTGTACAAGTCCTTCACCTTCTTGTTAAATTTATTCCTAAATATTTTATTCCTTTGGATGATGTTGTAAATGGAATTGTCATTGTAATTTCTTTTTTTGGATTGTTTATTGCTAGTGCGTAGAAACAACTGATTTTTTATGTTGATCTTGTACCCTGAAACTTTGCTGAATTTTCTTATTAGCTTTAGTAGTGGGGTGTGTGTGTATGTGTGTATTCTTTAGAAATATATACATATGTAGTATTATAATATATAATAAATTATAATTTTTATATTTCATAATTATAATTACATTCCACATATTTACATATGTAAGTATTAATAATACATCATAACATATAATATATAATTATATTATTGTATATTATATATGTAATCCTAAAAAATCTGTATAGTATCATATCATCTATAAAGAGATAGTTTTACTTCTTCCTTTACAATGTGAATGCCTTTTATTTCTTTTTCTTGACTAATTGATCAGGTTACAACTTCCAGTAGAATGTTGAGTAGCTCTGGTGAAAAGGGCATCCATGTCTTGCTCCTGATCTTCAGGGGAAAGCTTTCAGAATTTCACCATTGAGTATGATGTTAGCCGTGAGTTTTTCATAAAGTTACTGTATTACATTGAGAAATTTCATTCATATTCCTAGTTTTCTGAGTGTTTTTATCATGAGAGGTGTTAGATTTTGTCAAATTCCTTTTCAGTGTTAGTTATGATCACGTGGTTTTCCCCTCGTTCTATTAATGTGTTTTGTTTCATAGATTATCTACTATTGAACTATTCTTTCATTCCTGAGATAAGTCCCACTTGGGGATGGTGTATAATCCTTTTAATATGCTATTGTATTTGGTTTGCTTGTATTTTATTGAGGATTTTTGCATCTACCAACTACACAAACAACCCCACCCAAGGCTACTAAAGTTCTTGTCATCTTTAGATCTAAAGGTTCTCTTTAGTTGTTGTTAAATGACACTGGCCATTACTTCCTTTGAGATTTAAATGTTATTATTGATGCCTTTCTTCTTGGTTTTGGAGGCACTATGCCCTCCTGGGTTTTCTCTCATTTGCAGGTACTCCTCCATCTCCATATGAGAGCTACCTCTGATCATCCTTTAAGTTTTAGTATTTCTCAGGAATCCTTTGGAAGATCTGAGTGACCTAATCTACATCCAAACTTCATGATCCTTTATAAGACAGCAGCTCTTAAGTCAGTGTCCCTAGATAAGGCCACTCCTCTGATCTAGATTTGGAACCACCTCCTGAACAGCACTTCTGGAATGTCCTACAGGTAGTGCAATACCCAACAGGACTCACAAGACTTTCATGTTCTGGCCTTTGTTTACCTTTGCAGGGACTGGAAAAGTCGTTCAGGGACTTTTTGATCTTAAGAAAAGAAGTGCAGCTTTGCATTCAGTTCAGTTCATTTGCATCCCAGGTATACTGGGATTTCTAGCTCTCTGCGCTTGAACAAATTCCTTAGCTACTTCCTTGTGTTTCTGTTGTCTCCTTTGTAAAGTGATAATATTTGGTGTGAAGATTATTAAGAGGACCCATATTAAGTTCTAAATAAACTGCAGTTATTTAGTAATAGTTTTGGCTGAACACGAAGGGATGACATAAAAGGAATGTACAATACTAAGTTGTCTATTTCTCCTGATACTTGTGCTTCCATCTGTTTCAATGCTGGGTGGGGACTTGAGTAGCAGATACCAAATGAGGAAGAGTGGAGCCTTGCTCTAATAATCGTATTGGGTCCAATCTGGGGATTTATCACAGAAACAAGATCTTTTTATTGCAATAATTAAGCACCTTTGATTAGTGATCCAAAATTGGACGTTATTTTGCTGTATAGAAAACTGTATTTGTTAGTGGTCTTAAGGTGACCGTCCACCAATTTTCATTTAAATACTTGTAGTTTTCTATTCCCTCTGTCTTTATGCTTCACATCCTGGCTTTACCATTCATGAAACAGAATGGAAAATATATCTATTAAAAATCAGATTAGAATTTGTTAAAAGAGAAAGCTTGGAAGTCATTGTATTTAAGTGCTTTTTAGTGATGCTTTGGAATTGGTAAAAACGAAATTCAACCAAGTAAATTTGAAGATCTAAATGGCTTTATTATGCAATATGTTAATCGAGCAGCATCTCATCTAGCAACTAGAAGAGCACTCCAAGGAGATCTATACATTGGAAGGTTTTTATAGGCAGAAAGAGGGTGAGACTAAGAAGTTAAGTCACCTTCCCTTAGGAGAAGGCAGGTGGTCTTATCAGGCAGGTTTTTACAGGAAGCAGGGGTAAGGGAGCTCTTAGTGAAAGAAAAGAATAGGTTAATTTTGGGCCATGACATTTTTTTCTCTGTGGGGGAAGAGAACAGAGAAGAGTTTTGATCACACAGATTGCTTTTTCTTTTTGGGGGGGGGTGGGGAGGAGTCGGGCATGGTGAGGGCACACATGATAGACTACTGGTGCTTGACCAAAAAAATTCTATGCTGGTTGATTAAGATTATGTTTCTGGGAGAGATTGAAACTGCAATTAAATCTAGGTTTGGTATGATGGGCTTTTAGCACAAGCGATGCCATTTGGGGTCTGTGGGTTTTTTTCTTTAACAAAATAATAAATTGCTTAAAGTATCGATAAGACACCCATCAACGAAATATTTATACATTTTATATTTAAAAATAGTAGATTCGGTACTCAGTTATTAAGGCTATGATTTTATACCTTTCAATCAAGATCAAAGGAATTTTAAAGGATAAATAAGGCATTGCAATGGAAAACTTACTGTCTTCCTGAGACTCACTTTAAAAACTGGGTGCCTATTTTATGCGATTTCTTTGATAATGTACTTTAAAATGACTTAGAAATCAGTTGGACTTAATTTTCCTTTCAAATGAACTTCTTTTCCCAGTCCTTCAACTTAAGGATACCCTAACTTTGGGTGCAATTATTGTATTCAAGTTTTAGTAACCTCATTCATTCGTAAATTGTAAGTGGAAGAAAAGTAGGTATTTTGTAAGTTCTACCTCCACTCGTATGCTTTTGATGCAGACAATGATTTTGAAGTGCCGGTTCTCAGGTTCACAAGCCCGTCAGCGTTTGAAGAGTTAAATACCGGCCGGCTTCAGTCCACAGCCCAGGAGGCGCCCGGGGCTCGGGAGCCGGCGGCCTCGGACAAACCCTGCGGGCGGACGTGCCC